CAAACGACCCTTTCACAGGGGTCGTCCAATTCATAACAGTAGCAAAATGACAGTGATGAAGTGGCAATGAAAATAATGTTATGGTTGGGGGTCACCACCACATGAGGAACTGTATGAAAGGGTTGTGGCATGAGGAAGGCTGAGAACCACTGCCAAGGAAGGGGCTAGGGGAGGGGACAGAGGGTCTGCCACAAGCTCAGGGAACAGACCTGTTCTGAGAGGCCCCCAAAAGGCCCAACTGGGCTGAGAGGGCGGGGTGAGGTGTGAGGCAGAACCAGGTGTCTGCTCCCTGTAAGGACGACTGCTGAGCAGTGGACCACAGATGTCGGGGTTGGGGGGTGGGCTTCTCTGAAGGTTGTGAGGACTTGCCTAGGGAGGTATTCAGGCTCCGACAGCTAGCAGGCAGGCAGGCAGGGTGGTCTCCAGGCCCACGGAGGGTTCTGGGCCTGACCCATTATCCTTGGCTTTCAGGAGCAGCGTGCACCCCCTTCCCTGACGTCCCTGCGGAGAGGACTTGGAGCAGACAGACCAGGAGTGCCACCTGCTGCCCCTCTCGGGTACTAGTCCTGCCAGAGCTGGGGGAGGTTTGGATCCTGAGGATCTCATCCTGCTCCCCACCTACCCGTGCACACAAGCCACACCCAGCCACTACCTGTGCGTAACCACGACCACCCCAACTACACGAGAGCCTACCTGTGCATGCAAGTCCACCCTCTGACTGTCAGCTACCTCTGCACTCTCCTGGTCAGATCTCAGGTCTCACCCCACCTGCATACCCCCCCCCCCAGAGTTCTCCTTCAGTGTGGATGCTAGTACCCCTCTCTCACCCCAGACCAGCAGACCCCTTGCTGGCATACCAGCCCTGGGCAGCCCCTCTGGCTTCTGGCTCTTCCTCTTCCATCTGCTTTGCAGGCACATCCTCCTCCTCCTCCAGGCTGTCCCCAGCCAGACCCTCAGCACAGCCCTGCCCAGCTCACCAGGCCCCTCTCAGCAGCAACCTCCTGGCGGGCCACCCCTCTGCCTGTGGGCCTTTTCCAGCTGTCCCCACAGGCTGAAGTCCAGTGCCCACCCTGGATGGACAGGCCCAGAAGCCCTCAGGCCCTGCACTTCTGCCTGGACTCCTCTCCCTTGGGTCACTCACTCCTTGGGGGCTTAGCTCCAGGCTGCCTTCTTCCCTTCCTCCAGGGTGAGCTGCCTTATCCCATCCTGCCCCCCCTCCCACCCCCACACACACCTAGGGCACATAGTAGGGCTCTGTGTCCACATCAGTGACAGTCTCCACCCTTTGAACACACCCTCCCTCTATGGTACTAGTCCCTGAAATAGCGGAAAGAACTAGGAGGCAAAAGACATTTATAGAGGTATAAATACAGGCACGTACATATGTAAATATATTTCTATATAACAATAGGGATATGTGTCTATGTACATATATTTATATGTTAAGTATTAAGGTAGCAGACAGACATTGGGCCTATTCCCAATCCTCCCTCAACACAAGAACACTTTGTTCTAATGACCTGGCATTCTGTGATGCTCACTTTCCTGACACAATCACTGAAGACAAAGCAGGTGCATAAGCAAATGTGGTGGAGAAAGCTGATGGTACCCGGTTATCAAAAGATATAGCATCTTAAATGCTTGAAGATAAACAAGCGGCCGTCTAGCTCAGAAGCAACAAAGCCCCCATGGAAGAAGCACACCAGCCTGTGTGATCATGAAGTGTCGACAATATCAGGTATCAAATGACCCAAAACAATCATATTGATGCGAATGAGCAGGGTTGGAGTGGAGACCTAAAGCCCATCTGTAGACAGTAGGACCGCCCCTCACAGAAGGGTCACAAGGAAGGGATGAGTCAAACAGGGTGTAACACAGCACTCACTGATGAAACACAACGTTCGTTGCTCTTGTTCTTTAATACTCCCCCTCCCACTGTCATGACCCAGTTCAACCTTACAAATCCGGCTACACCAGAGCATGTACATGGGTACAGATAAGAGCTCTCAAGACATGGAATCCAAGACAGATAAACCCCTCAGGAACAGTAATGGGAGTAGCGAGATAAGAATGCAGAGGGAAGGTGGGAGGAGAAAGGGGGAACTGATCACAATGATTGATGTATAGCACCCCTCTCCCAGGGCTATGAACAGAAACATAGGTGAAGGGAGACAGAGGATGGTGTAAGACATGAAAATAATAATTTATAATTTTTCAAGCGTTCACCAGGGTGGGAGGGTGAGGGAGGGGGTGTAGAGGAAGTGATACCAAGGGTTCAAGTTGAAAAAAACTGTTTTGAAAATGATGATGGCAACAAATTTACAAATGTGCTTGATGTGTGGATTGTTATAAGAGCTCTAAGAACCCCCAATAAAATTATATATACTATATATATATATACTTTATATATATATATATATGTTTTTTTAAAAAGATCCTCCCCGTATCTTCCCTCTCAGGCATGAAGGACACACTGTCTCCATTTTACAGATGAGCAAACTGAGCTTCAGGACAGGAAACAACTGATCCAAGGTCACAAGGAGATGGTGGAGGTGGGGGCGGCAGGAGGGGCCCTAGCCTGTAAGCACAGGTTCACCGGCCCACGCTGTGTGCCCAGAAAGGAAACCAAAGCCAAACAATGCCACTGCCACAGAGTCGAGGGCGACTCCCAGAGACCCCATGGACAGGGCGGCCCGCCCCCGAGGGTTCTGAGACTGTCACTCTTGAGGGTAGAGAGCCTCCTCTTTCCCCTGGGCAGTGACTGGTGGTTTCCAAAGGATGAACTTGTAACCCACTGGGCTGCCAAGGCTCCAGGGGAGAGAAAGGAGATGCGTAGGAGTCGGGGGTGGGGGTGGGGTAGGGGGAGCAGGGAGCTGTCCTAGAAGCCATTCCACGACCACACCCACGCTTCTCAGAATAAATTGCACATTTGGAATCTTTTTCCTGGAAGAAAAAAAAAACCCCTAAAAATAGGTTTTCTTTCTCACCTTATCCTGAGGCTAAGAGCAGGCCAGCTGGGTGTCAACTCCCAAACACCAAAAAAAGGTAGAGGAGTAGATGAGGGAGAGTGGGCCAGAGCCAGGGGATGCAGAGAGAGACTGAGGGAGTGGCGGGGTCCCTCAGTCCCCAAGGCTCACAGCGCCTCTTCAGGGCATTGCTACCCGTGGTCAGGTGTGGATTTCAAGATCCTGGGAGGCAGGACGATCGCTCAGACCCTCTGCCGGCATTTCTTGTGCAGCTGCTGTGTGCCGGGAGAGTCCCTGGATGGTACCGACAGTTAGTTGCTTCTCTCCAAACCAAGAGATCAGGGTTCAGATCCATCCAGGGGCACTTCAGCAGGAAGCGAGGCCTGGGGATCTGCCTCAGTAAGGCCCTGGTCTGGAAGCCCCTCCGGGGACGGCCTCCAGAGGCAAGATCCACTCTATGGCAATTGCAGGGACAGACCTAGGCCCTGACAGTGAAGGGCAGTCAGTGTTGCTCGTAGGTCTCGGCTGCCAGCCGTGGACAATCGCTTCCCTCTGGGGACAGGTCCCTGCTCTGCCTCTCATGTGCTCAGCCCGGCTCCTCCTCCTCCTCTGTGAGAGCCAAACTGTCCCCAGCATCCATCCTGCAGGCCACCCTGTGACTCCCTGCCAAGGGCACAGAGTGGCCTGGGGACTCTGGAGGCAGGTCCTGGACCGGCCACTCCCTGGCTGACGACCTGGGAACAGTTTCCTTCCCTGGAAGACAAAGGGGTTCCCAAGTCTGCACCCCGGGTCAGACCCCAGGGGCCACTCTCTTTGGTTGATTTTTATTGCTGTAAAATAATGACCACACACACCCTCAAAACTCAAGCTGACACAGAGCCAGCCCAGAGGTCCCGGCAGGACTGGCCCTGTGGGTTTCCGCGATTGTGTCTTTACATAAGGTGACCAGACGTCCCGTGGCGTTTTTAAAAAGTCCCGATTTTTGGAAAGAATGCACGACAAGCTAAGGTATACAGTTTTCGCTGCCATGTGGCTATTTCGCCAGGATATGAGTTTTATCAATGGTGTCCCACTTTACCAATGTTAACATCTGGTCACCTTGCTTTACGAAGGCGGAAAGCCTCCTCCCTGAAACTGACTGCTTGTGGGAAACAGAAAGATTTCTCCCAAGTTGTCTCCCCCAAATATATCCCAAACCTAGCTGCTTGCTACACATGGCGAATGACTGTACACTTAGAGGTCAACAGAAGTAGCTCAGGGGTTATTCTCCCTAAGGGTTATCAGCCATCCAGAACAAGCAGTCACCACTGTTCATCCCGCAACCAGTAGGACACACTCCTTTCTGATAAGGATAGTAAATTGTTTCCCTGAAGGAGACCAGGGAGGTCAAGCCCACTCAAGGGTGACCAAGGTTAGGCCGCTATCATGAATCTAGGCTCAGCCCATCTTGTCCCATGTACACCTCTAGTTCCACCCCTTCCTATCATGTGTCCACCCCTAGCTCATCCCCTTTCTGTTACGTCTATGCTCATTGTAGATCCCCCTCCTATTGCTTGTATTCCTGTGAGTGTGTGGTTACCTGTAATCTCTCTGCTAAAGAGATAGATAAGCCTTGGTTAACAAAAAAACGTCTCTCTGCATTGTTCTGCCCTGCCCTCTCAGCCCACGCTGTGCTCAGACCTGGCTGGTAAGACCACGGCCATCCCGGAGGTGAGCATGCTACTATGAAATATGTCTGACTTCTTTATTTTACTCGCTCTCCTATCTCATTCCCTATGACTTGATTATAATCTTTATATTTCTCAACCCTACAATTGCGCTTACTGAACCTGTGATCAGTTGTGGGGGAGTGGCCTTTCCCCCACAACTGCTGACCTAGCAGATCGCAGCCCAGCACGTGACCGCCACGCCTCCCTCCGGGACTCCCAAGTCCACATTCCTCCCTGGTCCAGCTCCATCCTCCAGGCCTTCCCTCCGCTGCGCAAAAGCACCACCGGCGTCGGCGCCCAGCCCTTGCAGCCTGGACCCTCTCACCCTGGTGGCCAATGCGGGTTTGATCTGCTTGCTTATTCGGGGCATCTCTGTCCACTAGACCAGCTGGCACTTGCCCTGCACGTTCAGGCCCTGCCCCGGGGTCCTCATGCTGTGACGGGATGGCAACACGTTAATCTCCCGTCCCCCGCACCGTCCCCCGTCCCCCGGCTGCGGACTGTCCTGGGACGCACCTGCCACGCCTTGTTGGCCCGTATCCTGCCTTCTTTTTGCCCATTGTACGGACTGGAGGGGCGGGCCCGGGCTGCTGGCTTGGGCGCTGCTTCAAGGCTCCGGGAGTGGAAGTGCTGGGCCGAACCGCCGCTGTCTGAGGAGCTGCCAGCCTCGCTCTCCGCAGCAGCTGCGTCCGCTGACCTGCCCACCACCAGCAGTACCGGGGCTCCGGTGGCGCCACATCCTCACCGGCCAGGGTGATTGCACCCGACGCGTGGGCCGCGCACGCTGAACAAGTCATCTGAGAAGCCGCCAGCGGGAAGGGGACCGGGCATCGGGACTGGAGACGTGCAGATGTGCTAATGGCACCACCCGGCGTGGCAAAACAAAGAGGACCAAGATCTGCCGCCTTCCGTCGGGATTCCACCCCAATGTAAAGAGAACGCAAACTTGCAGCGCCTGAGCCCGTAGCTGAGAGCATGACCAACGGAGAAAGGCTAGAAGCCGTCCACCACGTCATCTTACCTGGATCCGCAATCGATGCTCTCGGAAGCGGCCTCAAGGCATCCAGGGGCGTGCTGCACTGGGTACGTCTGCTGCACCAGACCTCTGTGTTGTGGCCAGGGGCCATCGACCCACAGCGACTCTATGCACAACGGGGTGAAACACCACCAGGTCCGGGGCTCGCGGCCCAGTTGTTCCCATGCCTGAGCCCAGGTGGCAGCCACGGTGTCCGTCCACCCTGTGTGTGGGGGTGGGGGGTGGGGGTGGGGCTTCCTCTTTTTTCACTGCCCCTTCCACTTTACCAGGCGTGATGTCCTTCTCCAGGGACTGGTCTCTCCTGACAACAAGACCAAAGTACTGTACATGAGATGAAGTCTCTCCATCCTTGCCTCTAAAGACCACTCCGGCCGTTCTGGTTCCAAGACAGATGGGTCGTCTTGGTAAGCCGTCCGAGGTACTTCCAATCGTCTTCTCCAGTGGCACCATCGTTCCGGACCATCGATTCTTCTGCAGTCTTCCTTACTCAATGTCCAGCTTTCCCATGCAGATGAGGCCACTTGGCAATGCCCTGGCTGGAGTCAGGCTCGCCTTAGTCCGCGAAGCAACATCCTTGCTTTACAACCCGCTGGAGAGGCCCTGTGCAGCAGGCTTCCCCAATGAAGCATCGGCCCAAGCAAGACAAAATCCAGGACCGCTTTCACCTATTCTCCACTCATGAGGATGTCACCGACCGGATGGTCCAGTTGGGAGGCTTTGGGTCTTCTTTATTTTGAGTCTTAATCCATCCCGAAGGCTTCAGTCCTTGACCGTCATCAGCAAGTGCTTCAAGTCCTCCTCCCTTTCAGCAAGCAGGGTTGTGCCGTCTGCCTATCTCAAGCTTTCCTCCAAGCCTGATGGCACATCCTTCTGCAAAGAAGCCAGCGTCTCTGGCGATTGGCTCAGCACACAGATTGAACAAGTATGGTGAGAGGATGCAGCCCTGACACGCCTCTTTCCTGGCCGTTCGCCAGGCAGGACTCCCTTGTTCTATTTGCACCACTGCCTCTTGAGATTCGTGTACAAGTTCCACGTGAGCACAATAAAACGTCGTGGAATTCCCGTTCGTCCTTTGGAGTACTGAAAAGCGAGGATGCTGCTCTGGGGACCACGAGCTGCCTGACTCAAGCGTGGTATTGTCAACCGCCTCACCGGGATGGGAAGGTCAGACACGGAAGGAGGAAGAGCGAGGAGAAGTCAAGGGGTTTCAATGATGGTGCTGGTGAGGATGACGGGCCGTGGCACGCTCTAGTGGGAAACGAAGCAGACCTTTCTTAGAAGTACAACCAGACTGCTCTTCAGAAGCAAGGGTGGGAGACTGACCGGCCCGGGGAAGGACATCATGCTTGCGAAAGTAGAAATCGTCAGTGAAAAAGAGGACGCCCCTCAACAAGACAGGTTGACACGGCGGGTTCAACAAGGGGCTCCCATGTAACAATCGTGCGGACGGTGCAGGACGGGGCAATTTCCTTCTGCCATCCATCGGGTTGCTGTCGGTCGAAACTGACTTGATATCCCCTCCCTACCAATCAAGGGCAACGACAAGGTTAATGCCAAAAGCCCAGGTGGTATCGAGGCCTGGGCACTGGGCTGCTACCTGAACGGTGGGCAGTCGAGCCTCCCACTCCTCAGGAGAAAGATGAGGCTGGGGGCTCCTGTAAGGACCCTAGAGGGGGTCACTGTGAGCTGGAATCCATTGGCCGTGGTTCGGGTTTGGTAGCGCCACTGACCCCGAGCATCTTCTCGTGCGTTTGGTGGCCGTTTCCGTAACTCTTTGCCTGAAATGTCTACTCTGATCCTCTGCAAGCTCCATTGTTTTAAAGTCACACCGGCATGGGACAGCCGAGACCGGAGGTGGCTGGGTGGGGGCACGCCCCCTGGGACTGAGGACAGAGGCTGGGCTGCCAGGCCCGGGAGCAGGGTGGCTATGGCCTCCGGGGTCTGCAGTCTAGTCCAGTCCTGTCAAGGACATGCAGCCAGCCTGAGCGCAGAGCAGCCCAGGCGCGTCTGTCAGAGTTCTGGGGGTGGGCAGCCGGGAGGGGTGGGGTGAGGAGAGGCAGACACAGGCTCTCAAGGACCCTCACAGAGGGCACGGCGGGCTGACCTCAAAGGAGAGCAGGCCGGACTTGGGAAAACCCTCATCTACGGCAGTTCGTGTTTGTTGCTTTTCTCTTGTGGGGGAGTGAGTTGCCCTCAAACACGGCACACAGTCATTACCTCACACGGCTGTGTGGGTCAGAAATTCAGGACTGACATCAATGGGTGGTTTGGGTTTGGGGTCCCTTGTGGACTGCAGTCACCAGAGGGTGGGGGTGGGTGGACACTGGCACCTCTGCTTGCAGGAGGAGGAGAAGGGGACACTGGTCAACAGCATGTCCTCGCTCCTCTCTACTTGGGGCTGCTTGAGTGTCCCCTGGACATGGCAGAGGATTGTCCCCAGACAGGGGACTCCAAAGAGAGAGCATGCCCTGGGTGTCCCACAGCCTGTTAGCTCACCTCGGACCTCACATTCCACCCTTTCCAGGTGACCCTGCTGGGTCCACAGTCCTCCGTGGGAGAAGGGCAGCAGGAGGTGAGGGGACCCAGGTGAGCCCACGTTCATGCCTGTCGCCAAATGTCCCAGTTTTGGAGGAGACGGTCAATAAACATGAGGATAGACCTGGGCCAGGCAGTGTTTCATTGGGCTACACGGAGGGTCGCTGTGGATGCCAGCCCACTCAGGGGGCACTAACCCCTGCAGTGGGAACTCCACGGGCTTCACCGTGGAGGGCAGACATTGAAGATAGTGGCACCAGTAACAGCAGGTCCTCCCTATGGCTTCAGGAGCACTAGTGGCCTGACGACCAAGCGCTCGGCTGCTTTACAGACCGACTGGTGGTCTGACCTCCCCCGGTGGCAGAAAACTGTGGCAGTCTGCTTCTATATGGACTCCCCAACCCAAACCTGCCGTGACCCCCTTGAACGTGGACCACACCAAGTCTGAATCTAGGAAACCCAGACATTCCCAAGAATGGAATGGAACGCGTGGTCATGCTGGAGCTGAAGTGGACTCGTGGTGACCCTTTGGCATCAGAAAGTCCTGTGGTTGACTGTGCCGGGAAGGACTCCATCACAGTCCCCATTAAAAGGACGTTTCGAATTACATGGAACTGTGTGTGACCTCCTCCCTGGGGGACAGACA